CCAATGGCAAGATGTAAAATTAATATTAGAAAAACATTGGAAAATTTTAACTCAATGTCCCAAATTGAATAAGATTGTAGGTGAACGCCCCCAGATGGTAGCAAGAAGAGCACCAAATCTTGGTGATCTCCTTATCCATTCTGATTATCAACCGTTAAAACAAACAACATGGTTAAAATCACGTACTAAGGGGATGTTTAAATGTGGAAAATGTCAAATCTGTAAATATGTGGATCGTACGGATTCTTTTTCTGATTCAGGAAACAACACTCACTATAAAATTCAAAGTCTCATAAATTGCTCTACAGTAAGAGTGCTATATATTTTAACCTGTCCTTGTAAAAAGATGTATATAGGTAAGACCAAAAGACAACTTAAAGTACGAATAGGTGAACATCTTAGAGATATTAGATCAAATGACCCTGAAAGTAATCTTGCACAACATTATGCTAAATATCATGGAGGTAAACTGGATGGTAAAAAAGTGAAAGGTTTCTATGCATTGCACTTTCCACAAAGGAGAGGGGATTTTGACAGAGAATTGCTTAAAAAGGAGAAATATTGGATATATAAGCTTGATACATTATACCCTAAGGGGTTAAATGTGGAATGTGATCTCCAAGTATTTTTGGATAAATAGATCTACATAGTTATGTACCCTTATATTTCCATATGTTGACTAACCTATGGCATTTCCCTGTTTTCATTAATAGTTGGATTATATGCTAAATAATTAGGGTTAATCTTTTTTCGCATTTGGGAACAATATTGATGATCTCATGATATAAGTTTGAGTATATTTTCTCCAAGAATAACTATAACATAAATGGGTATTTGAAATCTGGGTATTTTTGATAAAATAATTCATAATGAGATCCCTTAGTCAATATTGCCATCTTGTGGTGGCTTTGTGGTAATTTATATTGTACTTTTAGGAATTTGATTTAATAAATAGGCCTGGTAATTCTTTCACTAATATTGCCATCTTCTGGTGAGAAGGTGGTAATGTCTCAACTGATCATTATATTCAATCTATGGTCTTTCGATTTATATATGTATTGTTAAAATTGCTAAGCCTTTCCGTTCTCTGATATTTCCAGTCGCCTGTTTTTTAATTGTATTCAATAATGACCAGCAGCTGTGCTAAGTATTTAGCCCCTTTTTTTCTCCATTGGGAATAGCTGCAAGCTAGTTTTTGCATAAATGGGTGGGTCTTAACCCACTATAAATAGGAAATTGAAATGCAGTTGTCTCATTGGTCCTGACGAAGCTGAGTGAGATACGCCCATCGGCGAAACGCGTTGACGTCATACGTCAGATACGTCACTTCCGGTCATGCGCATTAGGTGGAACGCACGCTGACCTACAAGGAGGAAGCCATTTTCACATGCCATGAGGCAAGCCTAGGCAGCACAGGCGCCGAGAAGAGGCTGGAGCCCGCGGTATATCGGCGGATGTCAGCGGTGGCTCCTTGGCCTCCCCGGCCTTGTATGGCAGTACCTATGAAAGATATTCTTTCCTCTCCTATTATCCATTGCACAGGTGGTGAGTGGACTGTTGCAGGACACTAGATATATGGTCCTATGTGACATATATGACCTATATATCCTATATAGAGTGTAAGCTCTTTCAGTGACTTTCCACATATTGTTTGTTTCACTACAGGATGGGGACATCATGGTGCTTTGTATAGGAAACAAGATATACCACATGTATTTCAACAGGCAGAAGATCTATTGGGATGTGTCTTGTTTTTCTTACAAAGAGTGGTATGTAGTCCACATGTAGTGGTGAAGAAACCATTTCAAGCAGTGCGCTGCTTTATGCATCTATCCTTCCATCCTGGTAAAAAATGGGGCATATTTTTATTCAAGAGCCCTAGGAAACAGCTGGTAATAATCACAGATGAATGGGCCCCAACCACTTGTGCCGGCATAGGAATGTACTGCATCATTTACATGACATTTATGTTTTGTTTCATATAGGCCTAGAGGCATGCCTCCTTTTTGACGCATACTGTGCTTGCTGTGTTGCATACATGTGATATTTATATCTATGGTATAATTTTTTGAAACTCCCTGTTTGCGATATAACCATTCTGGTAGTAGCATAGTCTACACATTTATAACACGTGTTATGGTATACCTATGGTATAATTTTTTGTATACACCTCCTTTGGGAAGTGTTCACCTATGCGCCAGTGCCACAGGGACTTTAGACTCTTGTAGTCATTGTCCTTGTTGCACATGTATTTAGACCGGTACTGGTGTCATTTTATATGGTTTTAGGTCTGTGTGTATTGTCTCATACTGAGGTGATGGTAAACCAGGGCGATTGCCCATATGTCAAATTTGTATGTGTAATAAAGCATAATTTTTGGAAATTTTTCTGAGTATCACATTCTGTTCATAATGTAGCCGCTTTCTTTGTGAATTTCTTTTCACAACCCCTCTTTTTTTGTATGCCTTTTTTGGCTACTGAATGGAGACCATTTACTGGGTGATACGGTAATTTATTGTACGACCTCTTAATAACTATCTTTAACAAAGCTGAAGGAAGTTACCCTGAAATTCCAGTGTTGGTTGGTTTCGAGCCGCCTGCAGGAGGTGCTCTTTAGTGCGTAATAGTGGAACTTAATAATAATGTCCCTTGGGGGGCCCTCTGTGGGTTTGGGGGCTAAAGCTCTGTGAATATGATCGAATTCCATACATTCCAGAGGGATCTTAGGGGTCAGTTCTTGAAAAAGGGCAGTAGCAATACCCTGTAAATCAGTTACCACCTCAGGTACCCCGCGAATGTGGAGATTATCCCTACAGGCCTTATTCTCTACATCTTCCAATTTATCTTTTAAGGTGTCCAGCTCTGCATGTAAGCCCTCCAGGACTGTAGTCACCAGATCCATACGCTGTTCTAATTGATGAGCACGATGACCCAATTCTATTAGACCTTTTACCAGATCGGAGAACAGCTTGCGAGAGGCAGTTGTAATCTCTTCCTGCACAATGGAGCGGAATTTTTGTAATAAAGCTTCAGGATTGTGCTCAAGAGAACTAGTTAAAATAGGGGGAAACTGGTGTTGAGCATCCCCTGTGAGCCACGTGGTGTCATCTTGTCGGGCTGCAGGAGCCCGGGCCCGTTGTTTGGGCTTAGTGCGCGGGGTGCGATGCATCTTCGGGGGTATGCCTGGTATTCCGCAAGCACCTCTGACCTTTTGTACCAGTGTGTGGGGATTAGAAGCCTGATATGCCGAGGTAAATGTTCCGGTGGCACAGGACAGGGAGATCAAACAACCATCAGCCCTCCCCGCTTGCATGTGTCCCCCAACTGGGGTGTTTTACATAGGGATGAGCTCCATGGGGCAATCCACACGTCCCGCCATAGACTTTAAATTGTAGAAAAGATTATCACGAGGGGGGGGAGTAGATGCTGGCTGGACCAGGGCAATCTTCTTTTCCCATGGGGAGAGCACATGGGCTCTTTTAAATGTAGGCCTCAGTAGGATTTTGGCCCTGTGCACAGGATGGAGGGGCAGCAGAGGGTATCAAACTCCCCCTGGCAGTAGCTCACCTATCGGAGCTCCAAGCTGTGCCTGGGTGCAGTGGAGTGAAGGTCCAAGCCTCGTGTAGGCCACGCCAGGCTTCGTGGACCGCAGTGGGCCTTGATCCTCCGGATCCACATATGGGGCTCCAGCCAGCCTCAATCTCCTCTCCAGTCACCAGCCACAGCCCGCGGGGGTCCTCGATGCTAGCAGTACCTAAAGCGTTGGCTGCCGGGCCCAGGTATAGTATAGACTGAGTCCGGGCCTTGTGTAGGTCATGACGGGCCTCGTAGGCTGCGATCTGCAGGAACCTTGGGCGGGAGTCAATCCGACACAGGTCCTCTCAGCAGTCGGCAGCCGATGTCCACGAGGGTACCTGAGATCAGTGGGACCCCGCTATGTCCAGGATGGACACTGATTATATGAAGAGGCGGCCGAGCTTTCCCCCTATGCAACCGCTTCTGCCACCATCTTAGACACACCCCTCAGAAGTTACATTCTCAGCAGCCGTGGACATTGCCCAGCAAGAGCACACTAGAGGGTAAGTGTTCCAAAATGTGAATGTACAGTCTGTAAAGCCCTGCATAAATTGTTGGCATTGTGTAAATGCCTATAATAAATAAGTTATGTGCAAATATGCTGTGGCAATTATTTCTGCAGTGCCACTCATTTATCACTGTGTAGACAAGTGACGGTTAATTTTCTTGATATAGGGGGGCCTCTGATATCACTAAACAGCCACACATAAACTTCAGTGAATATACAGTGTCAGAGATAGTAGACACACAAGAGGAAAATTGTCAAAAACTATAGACATGCTACAAGAGATTGTCAGAGACTTTGGACATAACACAAGTGTAGCACCCTAGTTCAGTACACTGGTAGGCAAATTTAGTTGCCTCCTCTGTAAATTGTGATGCAGAGGTTGATTACTTGGGGCTGTTCAGTGTCTCACAGGCTGCTATTCTGTATACTACATTGTGGGAGGGGGAGCAGGACCAGCAGCCTGAATATTTCTGGGACTCTGGCCAATCCCTGGGAAGGTATTCCCAGATGGTGGAGGGAAAGCCCATAAATATTCTAAGGCCTTTCAATCAGGGGCAACGTTCCAGGATCCAGACAGCTGGAGGAGATTCCTGTGCAGGGGTTCTGCCTGCTGCTTAAATATTAATGGGACTTTAGCCAATCCCTAAGGAGGTGTGCCCATAAGTTGGGGAAAAGTCCAAAAATAGCCTGAAGCCTGTGTGGCATGGGCAGCATGCAGTTTGTGGGTGTAGGGCAGTGTCCCTAAGTCCAGGCTGCTGAAGGATACCGCTGTTGGGTGGGCCTAATTCAAGGGCAGAAGCCAGCCTGAAGACACTGAGGTACCAGCTAGGCTTAACTGGGGGGCTATTTACAAAGCAACCCAAGAATCCAGATTGTCAGAAGAGAGCTCAAGGGATAGAGCCGGTGGGAAGTTATGGGAAAGAGCCCAAGTTTTCCAAGAGGCGGTGAGAGCAGGGGCGGACTGATCATTTGGAAACTCGGGCACTGCCTGAGGGCCTGGGGTCAGTAGGGGGCCCCATGAGATGCCCTTGGTACCTTTTTCATAGGCTTTTTTGAGTTTGGGCAAGGACACAGGGGCCCCATGATCCCCTATTGCCCGGGGCCCCATGAGTTGTCAGTCTGCCCCTGGGTGAGAGTCTACATATCCATCACTAGGAAGAGCCTGGAGGGATATTGGCAAAAGACAACTGTAGAACCTGGTGGCTAAGTGAGTATAGGATGCCAGTGCTGCAAGGGTGACAGTGAGGTACTTTGGCACTCTGAGTAAAGTACAGGTCACAGGCAGCCGGAGATTATATGGGACTTTGCTGGGAGAATACAGCCAGAAATTGTGGACTGCATCTGGGAGTTGTACAAGCTCAGCCAAAGTTGTGCAAGGCTTTCACGAGTTGTACAGAGCAGCCAAAATTTAGTAGTCCTCAAGTTGTTCACGTTTTATAGTTCTGAAGTATGCCATGCTCCCTATCTCCATCCCAGTTCATTGTTCCTCAGTTAAAAGAAAAAAATCCATAGAATGATTCTTGAGCCAGAGGAAGAATGCTGAAAATGCTGTGTGCCTGACTGTGTGAACTCTAAAGGGAGAGAAGAGGCCCAAAGTCCCCAGCAGCTCTTTAGGGGGCACGCTTCACAAGAAAAGTTCAGAGACTGAGTACATGCTCCTAGAGACTTTCAGAGAGACTGTGAACATTCTATAATAGTTGATGGAGAATGGGGACTTGCTGCAGGGGACATAGACTGGAGAAACATTTTTTTCATTACTCGAATATCAATAAAGATTTTGGCCTGATAATAAAAGAGACGGGTAAAGACTGAAGACATGGTACAGGAAATGGTCAGAGACTGCAGCCATGATACAGGAGATGGTCAGAGACTGCAAACCTAATACTGGAGATGGTCAAAGACTGTGGACATGGTACAGGAGATGGTCAGAGACTGAAAACATACTTCAGGAGACCTTCAAAGACTGTGAACATGCTATGGGAGGTGTTGGATACCATGGATAAGCTTCAGAAGACAGTCAGACTACAGAAATATTAAATGAGACTGCTAGAAATCACTGCTATAATAGGGAAACACAGATTGGTGTCTGCAGGAGCCCATAGGCCTGCCAAAAAAGTGTCAAAAGGCTGCAGTTGGGCAGTCGATTTGCAGCTGCAGTCGAGGAAGAAGGGATCTCCCTTTGAAACGCGTCAGGTTCACCCTGAGAGTCTCCCCTCTGGATGGGATTCACACGTCTCCTATTCCAGTGTTTCGATTTTGGATTTTATATGTTTTATATATTGCCACATTTGTGAGTGTATATCTTAATTCAATAAATTCACCCTTTGCTTACTGAGGTAATTCACAAGGTTGGTGCGCTTTTGTTCTTCATTACAGGCTGCAGTTGGGCACCAGGGGTACAGGCTGTTCTCCCAAGTTGACAAACCCACTTGATATCCAGCAATAAACAATTCCCCCAAAAAAATCCAAAAGGGGTGAAAAACTAATGAGCAATTTTAAAATAGCCCCCAGTATGGTGATTTACCAATGGAACACCTAGATTCTGTTCATGACCAAATTAAGCAGTGTCAAAACCTTTTAATATACTAAAAAAAGTCAATCTATTTGTTGTGAGTATTTTAGATGGCTGTCGTTCCTCGCACAATGCCATGTTTTATTGCATGACCCCCGGATTGTGCAGGGATTTCAGATTATGTATTTCTTTACCATTTGTGACAAGCTGTCCTCCGTGATGACAATCTTTGCCAAGCCTGACAATTCTTGTTCATTTTCCTCTCCAAAACTGTTGCAGTGCGTGATGAGCTCAATCATTCTGCTCAGTAGTCACCTCTTTGTGAACTAGCTTACATAATCAGACCTGTGAGACTCACGGTCTCCTTTCTTGCTAAAGACAGCAGTGCTAATTATTTATTGTACATAACTCTCCTGACCTTTGTAAATTTCTACTATCTGAAGCCAAGAAATTTACTGGGAGTAAAAAATTATATTTTCAGTCTGCCTACATCCCCTGCAGACTATACAGCTGATTTGTATTCCAGGAGAAAGTGTGCCACTGAAATTCAGAATTGATTCAACCAATTTAATTCTTAAAGGGAGCCTAATCTGGAGTTGACAAATTAAAGTACAACTCCAGCAAAAACTTTTTAAGCAGTTACAGGAATTGTTATTCTAACTAAACTTGAACGTCATATGCATAAAAACTGACCATTGTAAGTACCTCCTCCAGTGTACTATGGTTCTCCCCAGCTGTCACTTTTATTTAGACAGCTTGGTTTTTTAAGGGCAAGATCAACAGATTATAATATAATTATAATATAATAATATTACAGGGGGGGCTAAGGAAAATTAAATCTGCAGTGTTGATGCTAGCAACAGACATATGCCATTTTTGATTTTGCACAGTTTGAGTTCCACTTTAAGCCCCATCCCCTTCTAGTTGTAAGCCCTACTCTTTCTAGCCAACTGGTAAATGCCAAAACCTCTACTGCCCACTAAGGCCGCGCTATTGACAAAGGGAATGGCTTAATCTTGACTTGGAGAACAGTCGAAAAGTGGCAGCTGAGTTGCTAAAGGCAAATAGGCTGTTCATTTTGCAAGGTAAAATTCCCCTAGCTTAACCACTTCCTGTCTGGCCCATGTATATAAATGGCTGGATGGGAGCAGTGCAGGAGCGGGTGCCGTTCATAAATGGCGCCCGCCATTTTAGCCTGTGCATGCTCCCTGGGAGCACGCGCCACCGCGATCCGGTCACTGATCGCAGATCACTGTATGGGACCTCTGTGTTAGTCCCGATCATGTGATCACTGATTGGCCAATCAGTGATCACATGAATAGTAGTAAGCAAGATGGCACTTCTGACATCATTGCTTACTACGTGTGAAATCTGTGAATGATCACAGAGGTCACATGGTATTCACAACAGTCTTGTACCATGTGACAAACTGTGGTCAATCACAGCTCTCACAATATTTCTCAATGGCTGCAAAAATGCAGCCAGAGAGAAAGAGAAATGATTGCTTTTACAGCCTTTATGGGTGTAAAAGCAATCAGTGTAAAAAAAAAAAAAAAAAAAAATCTTCATCACCCTCCACAAGTAGTACAGTGTCACTATGGTGACACTGTACTGCTAGTGTGATGGTACGTTAAAAAAAAAATATATATATATATAAACAATAATATAAAAAAAAAATAAAAATGTAAAAAAAGATTTGAAAAATTATAATTTTTGGTTATAAACTAATTTGGGTTATTTTGTTTTACTAAAAAGATAAATGAATACATTTTGGCCAAGATTTATGAAGAAAGATTATTTATTTACTTTACTTTATTTTCAAGATTGTTGGACTTTTTCATTTATATAGCAAAAAAATAAAAATCCCAGTGATGAATAAATACCACACAAAATAAAGTTTTATCTGTCTCAAAAAAATGCTAAAAAATTCATATGGGTACAGTGTTGAATGACAATTGCGCGGTCATGCACCAAAATAAAGTTTTATCTGTCTCAAAAAAATGCTAAAAAATTCATGTGGGTACAGTGTTGCATGACCGCGCAATTGTCATTCAAAGTGTGACAGCGCTGAAAGCTGAAAATTGGCTTGGACAGGAAGGGGGTAAAAGTGCCTGGAGTTGAAGTGGTTAATGAATGTGGTGAAATTTCACTTGGCAAAGAATATCCAATCACGTGCCAAGGAAAAGAAAACCATATATTTGTCTGTTCATAATTGGATGATGTAAGTCAGCAGGGCGTCACCTCATTCACTAAGCTACTTCACTTCCTTGAAAGGTGCAAACTCAGTTACAAAGGGACAGTCTATTTGCATTTAGTAAACCAACCCCTTTGTATGCAGCCTGGGCCTAGGATTAAAAATTGCTATACAGAGACACAAAGAAGTGAATTCAAGGCTATCACAAATTCTGTCTACACTTAAGCACTTGGAGCCACTGAAGTTAACTTGGTGTAAAATCACATGTCCACTCACTCCAGCTCCAACAAACAGTTTAGGGGTTTGTCTTTTTGTAATTTTTTGCTTGTAGAACAGGAGTGGCGTTGGGGCATATGATACTCCAAGACGTTCAGTATTATTTAGAGGACACTTTTCTCCTTGTGGATATAGCACAGTTTAAACCCTCGCAGCTGGGGGCCATGAGGTAGCCTGAGATCAGTCTAAGGCCTCAAAGCTGAGGACCATGAGGTTAGTCTCTTGGCATCTGCTTAACCTGCACAGGTATAGTTAACCAGAGCAGTTTTTGAGGTGCTGCACAGTCAAATGGGTCAATCAGGGTCTCTTACTCACAAGTTCCCAGGACAGTTGCCTCCCTCCAGCTTTCTCTGGACACGGTCCAGGGAGTGACGTTTTCCCTCCAGACGCGATCCTCTGGTAGAGAAATCCCACATACAGGTTCAGACTAGTCCTGGGTCCCAGCCTGCCACTGCCAAGAACCAGCAAAACAACAACCCAGTTCAAAAGGTGCCCAGGGGCAAGCAGCCCTCTGAAGCTCTCAGAACCCCTCCGATGATCTCCTCAGGTCTCCAGGCTATTTACTATCTCCCAGACTACACCTCTACAGGGACTAGCCAGGGCATGGTAAATATTCAGGCATGCTATTTAAATATTCTGCCCAAAGCTCTGAAAGCTTCTCCCAGCCTGTGAAACCATGAGCAGACCATAGCAAATGGTTACTGCTCCCCTGATTACAGACAGAACCCAGAACTAGATTTACCTAGCATCCTACACCATGAGGGTGCTACACACTGTTACCCTGGGCATAGAGGCAGTGGGCCTAAGCACACTGCAATCACCCCAAGCGCCAGGATTTTTTCTGATGGAATGTGCTGGGATTTTGTTACGGCACTGTGACAGTGCTGCAAGTGGGAATGGGATCCTGTAACTGTGATTTCATTTGGATCCTGTAACTGAGAGGAGTTGGACTGTGGCCATCAGCCGCAGAGTCAGAAGGCAGTTAGCTGCATCAACCAATGCTGCCTCTATGCTACAGCATCCCTGAGTCAGTGTTGGAGTGATATTCAGCTGCACTCTGCTGCCCTCCCATCTATCTCTGGCCCGCATATATAAAACAGCCTGACAGAAGTGACTCAGGTGAGAAGATCTTTAAAAAAATTATAATGTAGACAACAACACTGGATTTCATTTGTGAACAAACTGCTCCAAGAAAGATATGCTGTTGTCTCAACCCTGACCTCCAACATTCTCAGGCGGCATCAGTGATGCTCTATGCCTCCTGGCAGTCAGGAGCTCAAAATCCTGCAATATTATGGGAGTTTGAGCACCCAGATGTGTTGTAGGCTGGGGCTGACGTAAGTGTCTTTTTTGGGCTAACGGTTTCTTTGTAAAATGGCTTTAAAAGCCAGTTCTGTCGTGCGGGGAGACAGGGGGCTGTGAAATAAGCAAATCTTCTCTGTCACAGTCAGATGCAGGTCCCTTGGTTTTCTGAATAAACACAGTGAGTGATCAGTACCAATCACTCACTGTGTCCATTCATAACTGACCCATAGTAAACTGTGTATTCCATTTGTGAATGAACAGGAAACCACTTTGTACAGAGAATTTCACATTCAGTGCAGCTGAGGCTGCAGAGAAAGGGACTGGGGAATCTCTGTGCTCAGTCCCTTTCTCTGTTTCAAAAGTGAGACATTAGGGGCCTGTATAGACCTTGATATGTCAAGAAAGCCCCCCAACAGGGCTTCTAAAAATTAAAAAAAATAAAAAAAAATTACATTGTAAAAAAATTGTAAAAAATAATAACAAAAAAAAACTACTAACAATGTCCACTGCCATTCAGACACTGTCAACTTCTCTATTGACTGACACTATCCACAGTCCTACTGACACTATCTTCTGCCCTACTGACACCATCCACGCTCCTACTGAAACCAACCTCTGCCCTACTGACGCCATCCACTGCTCTACTGACACCATCCACTGCTTAACTGACTGAAGCCATCCTTTGCCTTACTGACACCATCCACTGCTCAACTGACACTATCCACTGCTGTATTGACTAACACCAGGTGTCTTATATAGAGTACGGTAGGTGTTGGGGAGGGGGTCTTTTATAGTGGTCAGTAGGTGTCTAGAGTCTTAAACAGAGGTTGGTAGGTGTCAGGTGGTTTTATATAGAGTTCGGTAAGTGTCTGTAGTCTTATATAGACGTTGTTAGGTGTCAGGGGGTCTTACATAGATTTTGGTTTATTATTTTGCTATTGCTTTGTAAAGTTGAATATAGTTTGTCAGATTGAAAAGAACTAGATATGTTTTATTTTGTGCTCTATTCAAATCTGCAGTTTAAATTTCACTAAATATCTATTTTTGTTCCTAATTTGCTCTAAATTGCATTCAGATTTTTAATACTGTATCCTATGGATCACTCTGGAATTTGAATTTTTTTAGGTAAATTTTGGAAATGTGCCATTGTTGCACTCTCTTTAATGAAACTTTAATTTTCTTTATTTTCCTAACTTATTAAACATTTATTTTTAACATAGTGTAGAGAAATTCTGTAATGTAGGCAGTGCAATATGTAGGTGGGGTTTTGTGTGACTGTAGCTTGAGTATGGGTGGGGACACAGAGGGCTCCATGATCTGAGCTTGGGGGCTCCATGAGTTGTCAGTTCATCCCTGAACATAATGGTTATCCTTTACCTGTCAATGGTATATCTCATACATTATGGCTGGTCCTCTCCTAAATATAGAGCCAAAGCAAGCAATGGGAATAAAGCAAATTCACAGCTAAAACATCAACATCCTGCAGAGCTGGAAAGATGAATAGCAGCTAAGATTGTTTTTACATGAAATCTGACAGCCAACTGAAAAAAATGATACCAGGATGATGCCTGTAGCTGCAGGCATCATCCCGGTATAACCATTCAAAGTCCAGCGGCATACCAGTATGTTGCTGGTCCATGCTGGCATATATGTAACATCAGAGAGCATGGGCATATGATGAGTTAGATCTGTGGACCAATATGACCATAATTCATTCTTTTTTTGTAATGCCCATGTTGAGGGTTAGGCCCAAAAAAGTTTTAAAACAGAAAGTGTGATAGGTTTCCATGTGAATTGTCTGGCAAGAGCTGAATTTGGGTGGGCAGTGATGTATTTTCATGCCTATAAATTGCTTTGGCCCACAATCAATTGATACAAATCTTCTGTGAAAAACAGCAAATGGGGCCGATCCTGCTAACACTGTGTTTTTTGGGACACTATACAAAGGAGGAACTAGTATAGTTCTGTTCGTGATCAATATATTGATCCATACAAACACTAAACTGGTAATGGTGGTGATCAGCGACCTATAGGGCGAGTACAATAGTGTGCGGGCAATCTAAAGCTAATGTTGCTAGTGGCGGTAATACAGTGATCAGTGAAAAATTCTATATACTGACACTATACTAATGGAACTGGCTGGGTGACAGGGAGATCAAAGGATTAATAGGGGCGATCAAAGAATTAAATGTGCTAATCTAACATGTGTGTGTAAAATGTAGTGCTTTCACTCTGCGTCATGTTCTCTCTTCTGTCCCTGGTCCAGCAAAGGGGGCAGTGAGGTCGCACTCATGTGCACACACTCGGTAATACAAAGCGACATACTGGTACAGAGCCACTGCTCACCCTCAGAGTGTTTACGGGTGGGTGGCAAGTCGTTAAAAAAAAATTAAAAAATCTTTCAGTTTTTTAAAAACATTTTTTATTAAATATTGTTTCTTTTTTTTAAAATACTTTCATCAGAGTAGTGCAATGTTACCATAACATTGTACTACTCTGGGGGGTGATCAGGGATTTTTTTTTTTTTTTACACTTTGCATTGCATGAGCAATCAATATCATTGCTCTGCAATGCAAAGCTTGCTTTGAACTGTCATGAATGTGTTAAGTTCATGAAAGTTCAATATAATAGTGATCTGTGATTGGCTCCAGCTGGTCACATGGTACAAGGTGCTGTGGTTAGCCCAATGTGTCATGTGAGACCTGTGGACCAACTACAGCTCTCCAGGAACAGAAACAAAGATTTTATGAATCAGATTGATTCATAAAAGCTTTGTTGTCATCACAACACCGGGATTCTCATTCCTCTGTGTTTGGTGGACACAGCAGACGTGGGAGGGGAAGGATTGCATGCAGCGACGTAGGGGTACGTTGCTGGCCCTGTAGTTGGTGCCTGCATGCAGTACATTGCAGGAAGGCAGCCCAAAAGTGGTTAATAAGACAGGGCCTCGAGGATTATGTCACTTCCCCATGTGATAGTGTTCAGGTCTGAGTGGCCAGTTTATATTTGTAAAGTTTCACCCATGCTGGGAATATGTGTGTTTAAAAATAAAGTGAAACAAGAAACAAAAAAAATTATCAATGTGAACCACCATATACAAAACTGAGGTTGCTGCTGTTATGCTGTGTGCAATACACAAAGACACTGAGAATTAAATTCACCTGTCCTATGGGTAACAGTGCTACCTGTACAGTATACATATAAATCATGTGCAAACATCCATATAATAAATGTCCCACACAAGTGTCCAAATATATGCAGCTATGTGCCAATAAATGGTCAAGTGACAGTTCCACTCTAAAAACATGCCGTGCTCCAACCACAGAGACAAATGTAGGCTGTGCTCCACAGACAAGAGAGTGATCTTCCAAAAGGACCGACTATACAGATATCACACCCCACTCAATGGAGGGTTTTAGCTCCTTGTGTAAGCGAGAGACTCAAAACCAGCATGTGTTATCGTATCCTAGGCATTGTGGCTTCCATGTGCTTCAAAAGGCTCTCCCCTCTGCACCAGTCAGAAATATTTGCCCCGACTCAGATTACATGAAGATGTTCATTTATCATCATTAATTGAGGCCAGTTGCCAAACCCCAACACATCAGGAGGAGCATTGATGCCAACCACCTAAGTAAGGTCTGACCCTGGAGCCAGGGTCTACTCTTGCAGTGGGTGGTCAGAGAGAATAGAAAGGTGAGTATATCTTGCAGAAAGGGTGGGCTATCAGCAGATGCTATCACTTTGCCCATTTAGTGTCTCTTTAATGCTTCTGCAAATGTGACTAATACTGGTATTGGGGTAAGTGCAACATGTTCAAGACACACACTGAATGACATGCAACTGTGAAAAAATACACTGATGTTGCAGTCATACAACAACCACACACCAGCTCAATATCTGAGCAGAGATCTATCAACCTCACGTCAGCTATGGTACATACCATATAGCCTTCATTTGTCGTCACATTAAGTGTAAAATGTATTGACATCATCAAAATGATCTTGCAGAATGCCATTACTCATTCTTTACAGGCCAGACACTGTTTACTGAAGTCCACTATAAGCAGTAATTTTCAGGTATTAATTGACTAAACTGTTCTGCAACAGACATTGGATTCAATGCTGTTTTATTTATTGGACTGTAAACAGTATTTGTGGCCTTAGGGCTTTTAACGATTTATTGGTTCAATCAATAAGGCTCTTGGCTGGCCGGTAACTGTCTGGATTGCTATTCTGAGGTCAGGGAGTAAGTAGATTTGTGTGTTATGTGAAAATAAGTGGGGGATGAAATCAGGTCACCAGGAATGGAAGTCTAAAGGGATGAAGATAACAGTTCTGCAAAGGACCCTTGGGGACATTTTAGAAATCGATAGAAGAGAACAAGCTGTTTTAGCATGAGGTATGAGAATTGTAAAGAGAGAAGTAAAAGCAAATCGAGGTGACAGCAGAATTATGGAAACCTAATACATGAGTCACAGTGTGAACTATAGAAGATGGATCAATCAACGCTAGCTTGACTAATGTTTTCAGTCAGACAGAAGTTTTAGCAGAAACTGTTCCAGAAGTAATAGCAATGTACAGAGAAACAAATGATTTCCCCTGGAATTCAATAAAAAAAACTTGCAAACCCAACTCAGAGGACTTGTTGCTTTTCTTTTACCAAGCATATGCGTTCAGTATTGACTTCTAACAGGACAAAACTTGAAATTTCAGATATCTAACTTTTTAAATCTTAAGGGGGAAATGTAGTGTATTTTCTATAAGCACATATTTTATTTCAATTTTCATTTAATTTTTCATTTCTTAAAATGCTTGCTCTTCTATCTTAGATTGTAAGCTCTAGCGAACAGGGCCCTCTTAATAGGCCTGTATTAATTTGTATTGTAATTGTACCGTCTGCCCTTATGTTGTAAAGCGCTACAAATTTTCGCGCCGCATCAGTGTGAACCAGGGCTGAGGTGTAAAGGTGTGTGCATGCAGTGATGACAGAAAGAGGTTGGGCATCTGCCTGGTCACCGATCCCATGGATAGCATGGCCTCCTAGGAGCAAGAGTTCTTGTGCAGGCTCTTAGCTGTTTGCAGGGACACACAGAGGGAGAACGGCAGTCACCCTGTGTTTAGCTCTGAATCATGTACCAAGAAGAGCCAGTCCCTTACTGTAGAATATATCTGCTCTCCCAGAATCCATCTTTTGCCAGCTCTCTGGTAGTTGTAGTTCAATCAACACTCAGGACTACAGTATGTATTGGTTATAGGACTATATTGTACAGCGCTGAGCAAACTTTTTCGTGCTATATAAATACTGTATAATAATAATAATAGGACTACTGGTCCCAAGATCCTCTGCTTTCAGAAGAACTGGATCCACTCTGCTAACAGAAAGTGATGTAGCAGTCCCAAAACTTGGCGGTAAAGGGGAAAAGGATTAATCATAGTCTCATCTGTAAATGTCTGAAAGGCACCTGCCTACATTCTCCCCCACTTGAAATATTTGGTCCCCAAAGAGGTAGAAGAGTCCACTGTAGTACTAATTACTTAATATACAATGATACATTTGAACATTAACTGTAAATGAGAAACCAAGCATAACTCATATTCAAAATTAATTTACAAACATCAGGGTTCATTTGTAACTTGCATAACTCAGGGTGTCACGATCCACCCGGCGGTATCTCTAGCAACCCACAGAACGGGATTCCCCAGGGCACGGGGTCTAAGCCCAAATCTGCTTATTATTTCACAGGACAAAGCACAGAAGACCTAATAGAATAATTCTATACTTGCTTCTTGTAGGTATGGAAATATATTGAGCTCCTATAAATCATATTGGATTAGATAAATAAAATAGTATAGTACCTCCAAATGTAGCAAGGGAATACAAATTAGCACAGGAACAGGGCAGCCAAACAAGGAGCTTGAAGCACATATTACAAACACAATTTTACAGGCATGGGAATGTAGGCTTGGCTGGCTAATATTAGGCTTGCTCTCCGCCAGAAACTGGCCACATCAATCACTTTGCAGGTGGACAGACAGACAGAGAGAATGTATCACAACCAAAACCAAGATGCTGGAATGAGACCAGCAGCTGTGATGGAGCAGGAGAGTTACATGCTCCTGACATTACCACTTCTCTGCGGAGGAGACCCCCATCCCTTAGAGGCATGCTGGACATTGGCCACCAAACCATCAGACTGGGCATCAGGCACTGAACCATCAGGCTGGGCATCTGGCACAGGATCATCAGGGTGGGCAATGGTCAGGGAATCAGCAAGGTCAGGTTGGTTAGAAGGCAGAGAGTCTATGAAGCCAAACTGGACAGCAGACCAGTAGACAGTAGCCTGTACATCGGGATGGATAGCAGGTGACATATCACTGGAGTCAAGATGGATAGCTG